AAAAAAAAAAAAAAAAAAAACTTGACGTTATGGTACTTTTTATACGGTTCTTTTTTTGAATAGTTCTCTTTTTGACGTAATCATAGAAATTCAAAAAAAAAGAAAAAAAATTTTTTTTTTTTTCAACATTAACGGGTTGCTCAAATCTGTTGTATTGCTGTTGTCGTTGTTCATGATCAATTTAAGAAAAAAAATTTTTTCACTACTTCTAAGACCACCAATGTAAAAGATAGATTTTTCAAAGATTTAAATTTTTTTTCACCGGATATTTAGACTGTTTTTTTTCACTCGAAATTGTTTAAAATGTTTTATGCAGCACAAAAAAGGAGCCGGAAATTGAACAATGGAGTTCAAATGACAGTAAGTTAATTAGCAATGACATTTGAGTAACTACAATGAACAAAAAAAAAAAAAAAAAAAGCTTTATAAAAGTTTGAAAAAGGAAAAAAAAGCAATTTTTTTTCTTTTTGCTGCTTTTGACTATAATAAGCTAATTATTTAAATAAAAAAAAGAAAATTTCTAAAGCTTCAAAAACTATTCCGGGTGGTTTATACCATTCTTTTTGCTTAACAGTTTCCTATGTTCTTCCTTGCAAAAAGTCAAAAAATTAAGTGTACAAATTGTTGCATGGGTATAATATTTGGTGGAATGTAATTGCCTTAATTCAGTGACTATTTTTGTGTTGATTTGATTATGGTTTTCTCTTTTTTTTTTCTTTTACTTTTTCTCTTGTTCAACAACAATAAATCCCAAATTTTACAGTTGTTTAATGCTATCTTAGCTTTTTCAAATAGCTTATTGTTGCACTGAGAAAAAAAAACACCGAGAAAAAGCATCTTTTTTTAAGACCTCTTTTTTTATATCAGCTAAATAATTGCATAGAGGATTAGCACCTTTTTTCAAAATTTTTATTTCATGGTTTTGATTCCACTGCTCTGTGTATTTTGTTCAGCGTACACCAACAGAGTTTCTTCAACAATTTTTGCAGTTAGATGGAAGCAAAACAAAGCAAGAAAAAAAAAACAACTGCAGTTTGCTGTAGACGTATTTAATCGAAATGCTTAATGAATTGTAACAGCTAGCAGCAGCAGCAGCAACAGCAACAGTAACAGCGGTGGGGCAAAACAGAACTGTTGTTGTTGGTGTTAAAAATCTGAAAACATTTTCTTCCTTGAACCTTTTCCTGTTTTTTTCTTGCTTTTGTTTTCTATTTTTGCTCAATTTATTCATCCAAGCTATTCCTTGAATTCTTTTTATTTCTTTTCTCTTTTTTTCCCTTGATTCTAACTTTAAATTACATAATTGTTTATTACACATGCATTATGTATTTTAGAAAAAATATAGCAAAAAGGAAAAAAAAAGAACTGGAATAAAAAAAAGAAGAAGGAGACGAAACGTTTATAAGCAGTAGTGCAAGTCAAATGTGAAATAGAAGCAAATTAATGACGTACAGTTCAATAAGACGTTTATTAATCAGAGGAATTGTAAAATTAGGAACAAAAAAAAAATTGATGTTGATTTTCTGTTGGTTATCAGCACAGCACACTGATGTTAACTTTTGCCGGTCGAGCAACAGCAGTAGCAACACCATCATCATCACTGCCACCACCATCACTACCACCATCATCATCATCATCACCACCGCTACCACCACCAGCTACTGGCAACAGCAGCACCAATAGCACCTATCAACAACCAATATCGACCGGCAAAACATCAACATTTATCGGCCTTCCCAAGATTTTTTGG